CAGACGAAAACATTTCTGATCTTGAGATTCTTTCTATCCTATTTTCAAACTCACACACCCACACCCAAACCCACACACACCCACACCCAAACCCACACACACCCACACCCAAACCCACACACACCCACACCCAAACCCACACACACCCACACCCCACCCTCAAGATGTTATCATTTTCAATGAAAAATCGAATCATACAACTGCTCAATCAACATCAACACTGATGATGGGACCCAGTTCGTCCCGAAAGCTCTGTTTTGATCATTAATTTCATATAAAAAACAAGTCATCGACTATCGTTATATCAATTTTCGTTTTGATTATACAAATATTCCTGTTTTCATTAATTTTTCAAATTTTAGTAATTAATTAAGAAAAGAATTACGTTAGAAGAGCGAAGAATGCTCATTTACCAGAGCGCATTGCAAAGAGAGCATGCATGATATCGTCCACTGTTTTGTCGTCGGGCTCCCAATCTTCTAGACCTACATTGAGATCTTCAGCACGTTTATCAGTTATAAGAGATAGTTCAATTTCATAAACACCAGTCTTGGTATTCTGAACGATTCTGGTTATCTTAAACGTAGCGATGGGAGGAATGAGCACTTCTTCTTCGTCTGGATAAATAGAGATATCTTGCAAATCAATACTGTAGTTAGTTGTGGGACTGTCAAGAACATAAGTGCACAATGCTGACACTTTACCTAATTCATTTTCACCCATGAAACTCTCAGCAGTAAGACGCTGTTTTGATGTCGATGTAAATGTCTTCTGAATAATAAACGAATTTATTCGATAACTTGCGAAATCTTCCTTCGTTATTTTCATGCCACGATACGTGCGACCAATAAATTGATTACGAGAGCGATTTGGTGTGTTTACGTAATGCCATATACTGCTAACAAAGTACAATGGCCAGTCTACATCTAATTTAACATGGGTACCCATTGCAACCGAGGCGGCAACATGAAAAAATTCCCCGATCTCTAATGGATTTAAGCATTTTGCGAGATTTTTGTTCAACGTTTTATAAAAATCACTCTCTATTGTATATGCACGTAGTAAAGAGTCAATGCTATTATTAGCAGAAGCGCGGTTCAGCTCTTCATTGACTTTATCCATTTCGCACCCACCCTCAAGCTCTTTGGCGGCTTGAATTTTTTCGACTGTCTCATTAATAGAACATTTTGGTAAATTCGACGTAATTTGAGCAAGTTTGAGAACGCCGTCAAAACCAGATAGTGTCCATTCTAATGAGCTAGCGGTAAAACGATCAATCTGTGCAACTAATGGGCGCGATGCATTTGATCTGAAGTTATTGGAATCTGTCGCAATGCGTCCCTCACCACAATTTGAAACCTAAATACTTAAAGATGTTGTTTCAGACAGTTGATAATATCCTTCTGTAAAAGCTAGTTTAGTATCTCAGAATAAATTGTATTTCGCGATGTTGCACGCCGCGTAATCAGTTCAACCGAATTCCGCTCGATTCAGGATTCCAAGAATGCATGAGAACTGATTTCTTGGTGTTCAACATCGTAAAATAGGATGATTGTTCAGACAAGACAGAATGTTAGTGGATGATATTAGTTTGTTTGTCCTTCACCGGCATTCTCAACAAATTCTTCTTCGAAAGACTAAAATGTCAATTTCCAATGATACACTTCTTTAAATGTAGTTGAAGCTACTTGTTATTATTAGTTATCAATTAGTAAAATAAATCACGTACACTATATTTACTTTTGAAACTTTTCCTTCTGGAATAATTCCTGATTGTGGTGCGCATCCCATTTCGCGCTCTAGAACAAGAGAAATAGGACATCAAAAAGTATCAATTTAGTACAGATTTTGGGAGAAATTAATCAGCTTAGTAAAAATGGAAGGTATCATATATATAAATATATATACATGATGTTATAGTTTAACTTTGTTAGAGGATACAATACATAATATATTTAAAAATGTATCAGGCTATCCTATTATAATCATATATACTACATAAGGATACGACAGTTTCCATTTCCGTCGACTTCCTTCAAATTCTTGTTTGGACAGTAAATGGAACTGACTAAGTTTTGAAATGAAAGTAAACTACAATCAGTATAGGGTGGAAACTAAACCTAGACGGAGATGATTGTTGTAGACTCACTAACTTCGCACATTTTTACAAAAAATTAATATTTTGATTGTCAATTTGATCGAGATTGAGTTACAGTAGTTGTAAATTTAGTTGTCTTTAACTAACTATTTGTAAGATCTGAAATTGAAATTTGTGTACATATATGATAATAAGTGTCTCGTGAAAACTTTCGATTATTGAAAGAAAATTAACAAAATGCTTTAACATTGAGTAGAAATAGTAAAATCGTAAAAGAATGGAAGAAAAAATTCTCATTCTACAATGCAATTTTCATACAAGTGAAATCGAAATTCTTTCTTCAGTTCCAATCCATTACTGTTCTTCAATTAACCATTATTCATGGCATCCTTAAATAGAACACTTCATCGTAGACAAAAAAATTTCTTTTTTCTCTTTCTGTAATGCAATGTTGTCACAAATACATGAGAAGCGCAGGTAACGCACAGACGTTTTTTCAACTTTGAACAGTTGTACCTAGAGTATGGTAAGAGGAGGAGACCTGAAATTTTTAACACATGTGTAACTAAACAAGTTATATAATAGTTCAAAGTTTGAGCCATAACGGTTGAGCTGTTCCGATTTTATAAGTGAATTATCAGTCGGTAACATACAGACAGAAAAGGCCCTCGGTTTTTAGTGATTACGAAAGATACGATAGATTCTACGAACTACTGTATGCTATTGAATTTTCGTAAGAGAATATTTTGTAGCTGGAGATCAGGGCTATCCATTGGTAAAAAGAAAATATTAATTACTTGAAAAATGAGCGAGTTATTGAGAAAATTTGAAGTAACACACAGACATTTTGGTAACGCACAGACAAGTATTTGCACGAAAGTTTGCTAATGTTGAAATATCACTTTAAAACATCGAAAAAATCATGTTTATTCATATTTGAAGTATTTAGGACTGAATTTTATATTTTTGCCAACTCTTATACGTGTTCTTATTGGTACAAAACGATAGCAAATTTCCAGTTAAAAACGTTAAAAATTAGAACAAAACAGTCCATTTTGGTGCTGCATCACCATAATTTCAGCATTCAATGACATCCGGGCAAATATCAATTACAGTATATAATTTTTGAGTGTCTTTTACGAACTTCGGCTTTCCGAATACCAGAGTCATTGAAAATGTAAATATCAACGAGGTTTTCAATAGATCCCATAAAGAACTTGCGTGTCGTTCTCTTGTGTTTTGTTCTCGGTAATGTAGCTGCTCATGAAAACAATGCAGATGGATGTCACATTGAAAATTGTACATGGAATAGATGATTCATAGCTGGTTTATGTGTTAATTAATACAAATTTTTCAAACCTTATGTCTGTGCGTTACCGAATTACTTCGTACTGAAGTACTTGGAACTAAGAACAATGTGTTCATTGGATAGCCCATCAAAAGTAGGCGGAGGGTCAGTGTGAGTTTTGAAAGAAAACTGCTTTAGTAACACCGAAATATTTATTACACTTAATTTTCGGTAACGCACAGACATACATATGTTGCCCCTTTTCAAAGACGTCTTTCTCGTAGTAGAAACGCGGCGGGAAAATTTTTCATAAATGAGAAGAAAGCTCATCTTCTGCGCTTCAAAATCATCTAAGATACTTCATGATTATTTCTTTTCTTGTCTCACTGTATGCACTTTTCTCACAAGATGATAACTCATGAAATATTACTAATTGATCCGCCCGTTTGTTTCGTCCATATTTTTTCGTTAAATAAGCACCGACCCACAAAACATAAGACAGTTTCTTATTCAGAAAATTGCGCTCTGTCTTTTGGTAAGGTTCAATATTGCTGAATTTAAACTTCTACTTCAATCATATTGGTTGACCGTTAGCCGTTTTGGCTGAATAGTCCTTCATATCTCAAAGTTAACAGTGAAAAATGCATCGAAAACTGAAAAGTTTTTGCTTAGTTTCGATAAAATATAGTTCTTTTTCCAAATATCAATCATTAATTTGTTGTGCCAGCTTTCATTAGAAGAAAACTGGTTTTCAGTATAACATACAGTTGTATTACAGTAAAAAATCTATGAGAGTCATCAATACTTCGATTTGTGGACATGGAAGGAAGAAGAGGGAATGAATGGATATTAGTTTCTCACTACATCAACGAATGCACAATAATGGACATACTCTTTTGTTTAAGAGAACAGGGAAGTTGATAGCAACACCACTACATCGAAGAAGTTTATTTACAACATCTCAACAAGTAACGTTCGTCGTTCCGACTTACTGGATCCTCACTTTTCTTAGCAATAATTGGTATCGCAGTTATGCGAGCGTGGTAACGATTCCATTACTCCAGCAACTGAGAAAGACAAGTGAAACATTATTCTCTAATAATTACTTTGCGAAAATATTCTAATAAAAACATTTCTCATTATTGATTGTTTCAGATGAGGAATGTACTTGAAAAATGCAACCTATGTATGACTAAGCTGAATAACACTAAAAATTCTTTCATTTGAAATCTCGTAAACAAATAGATCAAATGAGTTAATTCAGTCTAAATCGGAAGACTTATGTTCCAATTAATAACATCTCCTAGTCATCCATGTAAGCATGATGTTATAATTTGAAAATTACGACAAAAATATACTTGACAACAAGAAATCATTAAGACGAGTTTATAAATTCGAGATAAGAAAATGTAATAAAGATAGAGATCAATTCTCCGCTTCGTTTCAGTCTCTGAGGGGTGGGTGAGTCTAGCATTCCACGACGCGTTTCGACTGTTGCTTAAGCAGTCTCATCAGGTAGTTTTGACTTTGTAGTCATCTTTAGGGTGTGGGTGAGTTCCAAATGACGATGTAAAGCAATTCAAGTCAAGCAAGCATTTCATCTGTTCACGAATGGATGCAGCACATTTCAGTAGATATATTCACAGAGACACGTTCAAATAAGTGCGAGAAAGTTATTCGAAAAGATGATGAAATTAAAGTAGGACTCGAATTCACAGCTTCGGATAACCGGTCGGCTATTCTACCAATTGAACTACTTGAAATGTCACTTCAGCTAGTTAATAACTACATGTCAACATATCTGGCTGGATATCGTGCATGTATCAAAACAAAAGTGAAGATAAGATACACTTGAATGAATTCCTATTGCTACACGAGGACTAGAAAGATGTACTCAAGTAAGTATAAGAAATGTTGACAGAAGCAAAACAGAACTGGGTATCCACGATAAATAAATAGTATATCCTAAAGCGATATTAAGATTTACCTGGACAATAACTCTCTGGAAAACGAGATTTCAAAGATTCTGATGAAATGTTTGATGTACTAGAGTTACACATGGAGCACATTCACTTAGTTTCACTTCACAATATTCTTCATGTAAAAATCGAATTTATTCGGAAAGAAGCGTGTGTGTGTGTGAAATTCCCGACTTAAATGCAGTTATTAAACTAGCAGTTCGAGCATTCCGCTTTTTCTACTAGCTGGGCGTTCCATAGCACCCTCATTATGACCATGCCTCCACACCTTCGCCGTATACACCCACCGTGGCACCCGCATTATCTGGTAGTCGATATTGCCATTAGTTCGATAAGCAAGTGGCTTTCGTCAAAGTTCATCGTCAAATTCAAGAGTGGCACGGCTTAAGTGATACAGGGTCCAAGCGAATTGCATGTTGGCTTGTGATTTATGGCCATGAGCGTTGAGGAAGTTATTCGTCGAAAGCGGTACGATGATCAAAAGCAGTCGTTAAGGGGACCCCCCCCCCTTTCCTGAGATAAAATTTTTTTTTTTCGATTTTTTTTTTCATACAAAGGTGTATTAGGATCCCCTCTAGGTATGCTAGAAAAATCAGAACCACCCAAGCCCGGGAAGTCTCTGAAAAACCAGGATTTTTGAAGATCTATGGTACAAAAAAGACATTTTTTTTTTTTTTAATATAAAGTTATATTATGATGTAGTATATCTATACTATAAAAATCAGAACTATACAAGATCGATAGGCGTCTGAAAACCAGGATTTTTGGTTACATAAATAAGAAAATGTTTTTTAAAATTTTGTTTTTATTTCTAAAGGTCTTTTATCATATTTTTTTTCTTCTATTATAATAGTTATAATCATCTCGCCTAATATAGTCAGAAAATACAAGTCGCAGTACCGTATATCATCCATGGAACTCTTATCTCAAGTGACATCTTTTTTCAATATTTAGTTTTCAAGGTTATTGGTCGATTGTACTTTTATTATTGACCATACTTGATGCATCGATTGGTCCTTGCATGACGAATGCAATAGCGACGAATATTGATTGAACAGCATCTGAACCAACAAGAAAAATATAACTACATCTCAGGAGGATTTGACTAACTGTATCGAAATTCTTTAAAATAAATAAACATACCTTGAACGAACTGTCTTTTTTATTTTGATATCAGTTGCCATGAATAAAGGCCTGTTTTATCTAAAAATATAAGTGATGAAACTTACTGAAGAAATATTTGTAAGCCAAGAGTAATACGACTAAAGATTCAAAAGTGACAAATGATGATATCAGAGGGCAAAACACTATCGATGTCTTTACACATTCAGACAGCTGATACTTGGCTATTTAGAAAAAAGCAGAAAAAACTTCTGAATCATCAATAAATAAATAGTTTATTAAATAAAATGCATTTCAGACAGATTTTTCATGCAAGACTACTTGTACATACGTTTCTTCGGAATATCTTGTGCCCTTAATGTTTAATTTAATATTTAATAATTAATTAACTAATCAGGATTAACATCAGGTTCATATTCTTTATTCTGATCTGAGTTAGCTCCATTTCTTCAGAAAATACGTTAATTATCCATAGAGAGTTAATTAGGTAATGAATTAGTTAAATCTGACACCAGATTCGGACTCTCCACCCTCGAATACACCGGTTCCAATCTTACAGAAAATGGGGTGTGCTAATTAAATGCTAATTAACATCAAATTAACTAAAAGTTAATTAATTAATAAAAACTGACTTTGGATTCGGATTCCCCATGCAGAACTACCCTTTGTACCATAAAACTACTGAAAATCCGCACATATAAGCAGAAAAAAGACAAATTTTCTACAACTTTTTCTTATTTTGCATTTTTCTCGAAACCAGTTTTTTGGGTACGAAAAACCAGTATTCCCCCTTTTTCTCGGGGAGTTTAAGTCCGATCGGGCTGAAACTTTTTTTGGTGGTAGTTCAACTGATTTGTGAGGTGTATTTTTCTTTTTTTGTCGATATCTTTTCCCAATCAAATTTGAGAGGCTTTACAAAATTTTCAAGACCCAAACAGTCTAGAGGTTTTCCAAAGTTCTCAGTATTTTGGTTCTCCTGCATAAAGTATTTGGAACTTTTCAAAAAAAAAAAAATACACACCACGATGGAGCCCGGCTACCTCCAGAAAAATTTTTAGGTCTAAAGGTCGAAATCTGTGGATTTGCGAGGGGGAAAACTTGGGGCCAGTTTCTTACATTGGGGTCTCTGGAAGTCCATGAAGACGGGGTCTGGGAAATTTCTGTCAATGACAACTTTTGCTCTACTACCCGAGACCTATCCACCCTAAAAATTTCATGAAGTTCTGCCGAGCCGTTCCTGAGAAACCCCGGAAAGGGGGGGGGGGGGTCCCCTTAAGGGGACCCCCCCCCCTTCCGGGGATAAAATTTTTTTTTTTCGGTTTTTTTTTTCGTACGACGGTGGGTTAGGCTCCCCCTCGGGGGGCGTGAGAACAGGCGNCTGTTCGGAAAAAACGATTTTCTTGAATTTCTTGGTATACATAATGATATTGCGTCGAATATGTCAGCATCAACGTTATTGGTATCGTGTGTTCCGTTGCGCTAACAACAGTTGTAGAGGACCATGTGGTAAGATGCGAATCGTTATGCTCTTTGAAACGTTCTCTCGCTCTCTGTTTGTCTTCTCATCGATAGGGTATAGGCTTATTGACGAAATCACTTGGGCGAAGCGAAAAGTTCGCGAATTAATTGACGGAAATGGAATAGACAATGTGCTGCTTGAACTATTCGAGAAGATCTGTGGTATTATTTACGGGTATGTCACCCCCGGTCGTCGCCGCCTTTTCCTTCGTCAACAGCATCAATAAGAACAGACGGCTCCAAGGAACGCTACAAAAATCACGGTGTATGTAAATAACCTCGAGAAGATTTACGAAATATTCGAATGGGCAAAAAATTTTATGTACACAAAACTGTGGAGAGTTACCGTCATTATCGAATCGATTCAGCTGTTCGAAGCACATGCTTTAAACTAAACGAAAGCGTGTAAGTGAAATTTTGCTATCGAACGTTCAATAGATTGATTCAGTTTCTCTCATCCTAGGCGTGTGATCGATGTGCGAGCAATAACGGAACCGAAAGAAGGAATGACTGGCACCTTGCCGACGTTAGTCTATTCAAACAAGAAAAAATCAACCGGTGCTTACATGCAAACATGTAAGAAAAAACTGGATGAACAAGTTTTTTTGCGTTTATTGGTGCACTCGACTGGCAGCTGAAGTGGTTGATGTGACCATCGTGCAGTTATGGCCACGCTTAAGACGCCGAAAACTACCAGTTCGTCCCGAATTCGCAACCGTCCCATATTCACATTTATCAGAATCACCATCTATATTAAATAGATGAACGATTCTTTCTTTAACCTCTCGTTCTTTCTTCTTTTTGTTGCCTGTTTTCTTTTTCTACTTCAGTTGTTGTTTTTTTTCTTCTTCTTCTGCAAAAAACGTTTAATAAAAGTTCTACACAATTCTCCGTGGAGTTCCACTCACAACTCTTTCTCTGGCTTCTATTCCACACGTGACAAGTACAAACGGCAACGGAAGCATACAGCATCCACCCATCGACCTCTGAACAAATCACAAACACATTACAAAAAGCTTCGCAAGCGTGATATTTGAACGAATATGGGTACTGCATTCACTTTGGTATACCCATGTTCTAGAAGAAATTCAGTTAGAATGTCGAGAGATTCTTCCTGTGGTAACATTGTATATAAATCTGTGATGTCAAATGTGCAAAAATAGGTTGTTGGCTTCAAATATCCATTTGCAGTGTATGCTTGAAGTCGTCGAATGAGATCAACACCATCGATAATTGTAGTTGAGCGAACATGTTTATCAAATAACGGTCGAAGTAGTCGATCAAGAAACTTGGAAATGCCAGTTGTTGGCATATGCATTGAGGACACAATCTGTTTTAATGGTGTTCCTTCCTGT